TATGTGTATGTATATGTATATGTAGATGTATACTTTATATGTATGTATATATATATGCATATTTGCATATATGCCAAAAATATATGTGTATATAATAAAAATATATATATGTATATACATATATATATATAGCATATATAGCATATGATGGCATACTATACTATAGGGATTTCTAGCATAATGATCGCTCTCGCAAGGAACTCAACTACAGCACTCATCATGCAGAGGTCCTAACCCGTTTCAAAGCGGAGCTCTCAGCACACTCATGATGCAGATTTCTGCGGCCATGCAAGGTCGCCTGAGTCTCGGCCTTGCGCTTCTCGATCTTCTCCTACCCGGAGCTTGCTGAGAACACGAGCTGAAGCGAGGCGTTGGCAATCTGTCTACAGCATGGCATAGTAAGCTCGACCTCTGCAAAAGATGCACCCAGACCGCCCGAGTGTCAAACGAACTCGCAAAGTCTGACAGCCTCCAACACTCTGATCCGATGAAGTCTGAACTGAGAAAAGGCTTTGTACCCTGAGACCCAAACCCGAAACCCGCAAAAAGACCCTAAACCATGCTGGATTTCAGTTTTGAACCCGCCCCCCCCTGTTCGGCATGGCCTGGGCCCTCCGCCCGAGCGCACTATCCTCTGGGCTGGCCTTCGGCCCACGAGCTCGGGCTTCAGGCTACAGATACAACGTCTTCTCTTAGCTTATCTTATCTTAGGTGCTTTGTTATGTTATGCCATGTTCTCTTACGTTGCGGTGTGGTATGATAATATGCTTTTTATGATGATGATCTCTCATTCTTCTATCTAGAATGGATACTGTCTTGTGTCAAAAGTATCTGTCATTTAAGTTTATCGTGGATCAGTGTAAATCAGTGTAACATCCACAATGGGTCATAATATGGGGGCCAACCCTGCGACGTTCAGAGTCCATTTCGACTCCGTGTCTCAGCTTTCTCTTCGACCGCGGCTTGGAGTTTCGGGCAGTCGGCTTTTATTATTATTACTAGTATTATTATTATGATTATTATTA